TTGACTAAGCAAATTATTGTTGTTATTATTATTATGTAGCAACAAGAAGACTACCGACGACTCCGTATAAATATAAAACGTGCAAATATGTTTAATAGTCAGTGGCTTCAAAATAAACCAAGTCACTGCTAAATACAGAGTGGCTAACAATAGTGAAAAAGCAGTTAACCGATACTACTCAAAGTAGGTAAAATAGATAAGATAACAAAGAAGAATTGCAAATATAACTTCCTCACAAACTAAATTTACTTATTTCATATGGGGCATAGTGATACAGTACGATTTACTGGCTGATGTTTCAGACTAAATTTAGTGGCCATTAGGACATCAAGTAACCCATTCCAATTTCGGCATTCAGTCTTTACATTCTAATTACTTCTTTCTTTTCAATGGTAAAAGGGATTCGTTATGGACTGATGCAGTGCCCAACGATTCAGTGATGGATCTCTCTTCCTCGCCTTGTCTGTTACATTAGTCTTTAAGAATGCTACTCCGTTCCAACCTCTTATGTCAGTATTCTTAAATGCATAAATCATAATGGATATGTTTTATTATGGATAACTTATCTTAATGGCATCCATTTTTCTGAACTCAACTGATTTCTTTTTTCTCTGAATGGTTTATCTACTTGGCCTATGCTCAACAAATGGTATTCCGTGGATTAGTTTATACTGCTTTATTCGATAAGCAGAATTTTTATGTTAGCAAAATTTTTTTCTGACCCACTTCGTAGATTTGATTGCTACGTTAAACTTACCTTCGTCTGAAATGCTACGCATGGTATCTGATATACCTACCTCGTATAACGAAACAAGCGATTTTTTAAATTTCTGTTTAATCGTGTTGCAATTACTGCCTAAATTACTATTTCCGTTGTTCCTACAACATCCCAAAGATTTGTGAATAAGTTATCAAATATAGTTGTTGAGTAGTAATGTAAATTATGTGTTTCAATTTATAGTTTTGACTTAAGATTCGATGACATGAATACCTCACTAAATCTCTCCTAACAGAATTCAGACAGGATAATCAGCATTTCAGATATCCTTTACAATTCGATAGTTTCCCGTTCACATTAGTTTCTTCAATGCTGTCTTATCTCTGCTTGATTTTTAGATCCTTCTTAATTTTCTGACTTGTAAGTTCAGAACAAGAAATTCCTTCTCGACAGAAACAATGAAAATTGCACATCATGAGATGAAGTTCAATTGTACTCACTTAAAGCTTAATAGGTTACCCGGGACGACTAGATAAGGTGGACAGCTAAGTGACAAACATCTGATCTAATGAATGAGAGTATCTCTAAAATAGCATAATACTTGTCAAGACTACAAATGAGTTATTGTAAATAGCTCAATAACAGGATTCCCGCGAACGCTAAAAATTGAACAGATAGGGAAAAAAAAGTAATACTTATTGAATATTCTTTTATGAACGACAACATACTGAACTACCTTCATCAGTTATAGTATTTGGTCTTATTTATACGTATATACTCAAAACTTAGGAACCCCGGATATTTGTTCAACCTGGTCGTAGGTCTTAATGAACTCAAAGACTATTGGGAAATTGAATTCGGAGGTTAGTGGGGATCTAGTGATTTTTCAAGTTGGTATGCATTGTGGACTGACATGAATTGGATAAACATTGGAAACCTGGGAGCACTGGACGGCTGTTTCATCCTAGTATAGCACTCCAAATCAGTGCACACTCATAACCCCGCTAGGGATGAATACCAACTTGAAAAATCATTATATCCCCACAAACCCCAAATCCAACTGATCTAGTACTCATTTATAACTAACTTCAAGAGGTGATTCCTGAAGTGCCAATGAGAAGTCATGACAAGTGGGGCAAACCTGGTGGTCATGGGAACAAATGTTCAATGATGACCTTGGGTGATAGTCACACTATGTCATGAATTGACAGATGATGGAAATATGGACCACTGAATTTCGACCCAGCGGCTCAATGATAATGTGCCAACCGCGGAGCCTGAAGGTCCTGCTTTCGATTCCTTGAGGGATCATGGGTGAGCAATACCTAGGAGTCCCACACTAGGAAGAAAAAGGTGTCCAGTGCTGCCAAGTTTCCAGTGTTCCTCCAACTATTGGGAAGCTGCTGTACATAAATATACCATAAAGCAATTTGATGGAATCATATGAAATTCTTAATATATTCTTTGAAGACTGATCCAATTTTAATTCGATTCCTTAGTAGCATTTTCGTCCCAAATGTGTGTTGCATTTATTTCGTCTTTTTGTCAGCCTTTGGTTAGCAATATGCATTTGCTTTGAGATGACTACAGAAAAGTTAACTTTAAGTCTAATCAATAAACTTCACAAGAATGGATCTTGTTGAGTTTATTTCTATCAGACATCAGTACTGATGTTCATTCGTTACTATTTTTAGTTCATTTTCAAACAGACAGCATATAGTCTAGGCACTTTCATCAGTAGTATTTCTACCATTTATTGACAAAGCTTCATTATTTCAAGCTATTCATAAAGATAAACAAAGGCGGTTTAAATAATAGAAAAAGTTTTTACCTCTTAAATCACTTATCGTCTATGTTACTTCAGATGTAAAAGAAGCATGAATATACTAAAACTCAATTAAAATAACATTTCAAAGCAGTAAGAATACTGCTTTTTACACCCTCCAGTGCAATTCAGTAATCTTCTTCCAGAATATCGTGGACAATTTCATAAAAAGCTAGAAAGTTATCAGCTCTAAAATGAAACCAAATTACCATGATTCAATCATATTCTAAAACTATGAAGTCACTTCAGTCGATTCATTGTTCGCCTTTATGTAATTTGAAATATTCATTGACTTTGTAAACAAAATACAAAAACAGTACAAGACTGTTATAGTGTGGAATGAAATTGACATGATATTCATCAAAAGCCCTGAATCTCTGAAGCTTTTTACTACCAATCATGTTGCACCGAAGTTCTGAGAAAAACCAGATGAATCAGCGTGTAAATATCAGATTGGTTGAAGGGATGAAAATCAATAGGACATTCAAATCTAGAAAGGCCTGCAAATAGACAAGGCTATTGTAAATAAATATAAACCCTTGCATTTTCTACACATATATTCTTGACGTTGCAATATATCTTCCGCTATATTGCCGCCTTTTTCATTCATCGAAAAACTGAGCGACCAGCAAGGAGTCAAATCTGTAGGTTGTTGTTCAAGTGTCCGCATTTATATAAAGCTTAAGTAATATCACCTAGTCACTATAAGAATATAATGAATGACAACAGGGATTTAAAAATGACCAGTATGTCTGAAATTTTATGCACATTAGTTTTAGCCTGAATTAATCCGTACCTCATTGTTACAACGCTATGATGAAGAATACTTGTAGCTCATGAAGATGTGTTTTTTTCAGTTTAGTGTACTCTAAGTTAGGTAATCTAACTGTGAAGCTTTTAGTTTCATTCTAAACAATATCGTCAGCACAAAATGCAGAAAGAAGTGAGCTGTGGGAGTCTCTCCATGAGGGGCTTAGTTGCTTGTCATCATGAACTGAAGTGTGATTAGTTGTTTCTACTAAAATTTTGTTATTGTCCCCATACCTATTTCTACTGGTTGTCCCACTGACATGACCTTTGACTTCCTTGGTGTTGCTTTTTATTATTGGTTGATCGACTGGGTCAATATCAATATGTCTGTTGCTTGGTGATTGAGGCGAGTGCCACATTTCTTAAAAATCTCTGACATACTTTACATTTCCACTATTTACGATTTCCAGGACTTTTGGTCCGATATGTAGATGACAAGTTTTTCATCATTAAGAGAAACGAATTGGAAAATGCTTACTAATTATTCAATAATGTTTTCGATGACATTATATCCACAATCGAAGATGATTCAAACAAAAAACTTGCATTTTTATGTGTTCTTATCACTAGAAAAGATTTGGGGAAATTAAGAAGTGAAGTGTACAGAAAATCAACTTATAGAGATCAAATCCCTTAACCACAGAATCAAGAATCTAACAACAACAAAATTAGTTGCATAGAAGCGCTGTTCAAAAGGGCGGAGACACACCATAGTACGTCAACCTTACCGAGAAACTAAGAGAACTATTTAGTGACTATTTTCCAGAAGAACGGTTATCTAAGCAACTTACTTAGAAAATGTTTGTCGAATTCGCCATTATACTTGGAAACCAACAAATGGATTGTCTTACCATACACGAAGAATACATCCTAGATCATGGCTAGATTACTGAAACCTTCTGGAATTGCTGTAGCCCATAAACCAACAAAATCTCTTCACTGTCTGTTGTACAGCCTACCAAAGGAAGTCAAGCCAAAAATGATCTGCAAAGTAAACTGCATAAACTGAAAAAACCACTATATCGAACAGAATGGTGGCCATCTTCGTATTCGTCTAAATGAAACTTCATGGTATACCTTTGCTCACATCAATACACATAGATAATGGTGGACATAAATTCGACTGTTAAATTGTGAAAATCGTAAATAGTGGAAATGTAAAGTATGTCAGAGATTTTTAAGAAATGTGGCACTCGCCTCAATCACCAAGCAACAGACATATTGATATTGACCCAGTCGATCAACCAATAATAAAAAGCAACACCAAGGAAGTCAAAGGTCATGTCAGTGGGACAACCAGTAGAAATAGGTATGGGGACAATAACAAAATTTTAGTAGAAACAACTAATCACACTTCAGTTCATGATGACAAGCAACTAAGCCCCTCATGGAGAGACTCCCACAGCTCACTTCTTTCTGCATTTTGTGCTGACGATATTGTTTAGAATGAAACTAAAAGCTTCACAGTTAGATTACCTAACTTAGAGTACACACCACCACCAATGTTAAAATTCTTTCTGCACACATATACGCTGCCTTCTCAAACCTCAAGTTAATCCAAAAATATTTATTTCCTCCTATCATTTTTAATCGTTCCGTATTTTCTTAGATAGATCATTATCTACGTATTTTTCCTTAATCAAACAGGTATTCTGTCAACATTCATCGCGTCAATTGTAGTTCATAAATTTGGCTTAGAATTAAAAAATGGTTGGAGAGTTGCATTGTGTTTAGCAGCATGCAGTCAATTCGGTGCAATGATTACCTATTTAATATTTGGTTCAAGTGAACAACAACCATGGGCTTATTCATCAACATCAACAGATAATGATGATACCAATAAATCTGATGAACAAATCGATAATCCCCTAAATCAGAGCAAGTGAATCAAATGAAATTACATGATGGAAACTTGTTTCGAATTTTTTCCCTTGACATTAGAAACTATCTTTATTGCTTTTTCTGATAAGTGATGAATATGTATTTCAGTGTGTGGTTTTAAATATTTTTATACTAAAAAAAGCGATAGTATCACCCTCTGTTTTGGATATACTAACATATATGCACATACATGAAAGAAGACAATGTATACAACTATACTTGTGATTAATCATGAAGAGGCAGTTAAGAAACTTATAAAATTGAATGATTTTTGATATTGTATAATATATACCATTCTGGTTTGTGAGTAATTCGATGAAAATCGGTATACAGGGTGATAAATATATGAATACGTTTTTGAAGTTAGTTTTATGAAAGATGACAATGACAGTCAAATGGGCTTTTTCTTAGGTGAAGTTTCCAAGTGTCAATCCTGAAGAAGAGTAACTTATTGATATGAAAATCCGATTCAAAGCAACTTCATAAAACAGATTATTGTTATAACTAACTAAAATAAACTGAACCTTTTATTATATTGTAAGAAAAAGTAAGCATCATGAAATCGCTTTATTCATTATGAACAGTCTACAAAATCAAGTCAGATATTATGTATTCACCCTGTCATTTGAATACACAATATCCAGTAATTTTCGAATACAATATCAGTTATGAATTTCGTACAAATTTAATACTAACATAAATTGAAAAAATCGGAATTATAGTAACAAATAACCGAATGTACCTGCATATTACGTTTACTCATTCATTAGATACAAAGAATGGTACAGCATAATTTAACATATGATTTATCAAGCGTAATTTAATGCTCATAGTTCATTACAACGTATATGATATGGTTGAATTATATTTAGTATTGAAAAAGGATAAAAGGAAGGTTAGGACTGAACCTTAATGAAAGTTTTACCTGCTGCTTCTCATTACGTTTTTGAATTATTGCCTCCTATGTCCATGAGGCGTTAAATAGCAATATTTTTCAACTGTTTGGTTCGACCGTGTTGGTAATTTTATACGATGACTACGGTTCAGATTTCAAACCGAAATTTACCAAGTGATCGCGTCTCTCGCTGTATAATACTAAACTGTAGCCTTTTTATCACCTTAATGAAGAACAGATTTCATATGGTCAATGTAACCAGCCGAACATGAGCATATGAACTTCAAGGTACATAATGATATAGTGAAAATAGACAACCAGATCGTAATACACCCATGAACTAATTAACTACTTGAAAAGATACTCCAGATTTTAGCAATAAAGAATGTCCATACGACAGATTCTTTGGAAGACGTGATTTAATTTCACTTTTGAAGCTGACTATCAACATCAAACCATGAGAACCCAAGGAAACCAGTCATATTTCAGACCTGAGTGACGGTGCATCGATATTTTTACCGTTCGACAGGTTCTAGAAGGAAACGGAACGAAAAGGAATGAAACGCACTCAGCTATCTTGTGTACATTCGTGCAGTCGGCAACAAGCCAAACCTATTTTGTGACGGACAGTAATACTACCTGGTTGCCCAAACTTCCGAAGGAGGAACATAAACAAACTTATCGACGACCGATACTATCAATATTTTCTGACCGGAAGATGGCATTTAACTCAGTTAACTGAGGGATGTTGTGGCAGTGTCCGACTATGAAGAGTGTACCGAGCAATTAAACAATACTAATCAAAACTCTCCACTTAAATCACCCAGCTGTGTGAGGGCATATGGAGAATTGGCATCTGAATCGATAAAAAAGTAGTGTCCCCAATAAATACTTACTGCTATCGTTCTTGGTTTACTTTGTTACAGACGTAATAATGGGTAAAACCTTGAATACTTCTAACTTCAGAAGGATTAACCTACTCTCTGGATGGCATCTGTTTGACTTGAAGTATGTAAAGAATATTGTCCTAGTAAGCAAACACGTCGATAAATACAGAGCCTTGTGAACACAGTGAGCAGAAATCAGTGTACTTATGGCATGCATCTCGCATCTGCTACAGGTCTGCAACTACCCCCATTTTTAATCATAGGGAGTAAAGTGGTAAAATGCGTCTACCACTTCACTTATTTGGGGAATTGCATCACCTAGAACGGGCTGGTTAGTGAGAAATCTCAGTTCAGATAAAAGGTCCTGTTTGTATTTGCCATCTTTTGTTATTTCTGCAGCCAGCCGATGAGATATCCCACTCCCTGTTAAAGGACGAGTAAAATGCGCTGTAATGGTTCCATCCTGCTGTACGACTCTGAGACACGGTCACTGAAAGTAGACGATATGAAGCAGTTACAGATTCTAGGCCACTGGTGTCTTCATGAAACTGCTCACGTATGCTCAAAATCATGTGAGGAATTTAGAGGTTAGGCAAAAGGTTCTGGACAAGTACTTTGGTCGCTGAGATTGTGAATCATCAGTGACTGAGGTGGTTTGCACATGTGTTGCGTAGGCCAAGCCACCCCTTACCTAGGAAAAGTCGGACTGGGGCGAAAGAAGATCTTAGTAGTCAGACCAAGACGTGACATCAGTTCGTGAAATCTCTAACTGTTGGTTTGAGTCGTGCAGGCAGGCGTAGAATACCTGACTGTCCTACAGATTACAGGAATGAATGGTTGCGGACTCTTGGTGGGAAAGGTGAAAACCGGCCATAGTTTCGCGGACGTATTGTCTTTGTCGCCTGCTTAATCTCGAAAATTTTCACCAACCTTTATCTTCATGCTGTTTCTCCTCGTATACACCTTTCTCTATTTAGGTACCGGTCTTTTTCGATCCACTTTTTATTTGCACGCTACTGTGAACTATAGCAGTGTGAAAGCATAAGCTTCTGTGCATGATGTCGATTTCACGTGTCTGTCGGTCACGTAAAACAGTTTCAGGACTTTGATGTCAAAGAGGGATACAAATACAAAACAAATCCAAAAGCAACCACATTGGACTATGTGAAGTGGCACTCGTCAATGCACACTGATAAAAAATGACATCGCAGGTTGTACGAGCTAGTCAAATGATATACCATAGGATAATTTGTGTCACGACTCCCACTTAGAAGATGGAAAAGAAATGTAAGGTTGATCTTCAGTCGCCTTAACTACGGTGGATTTATTTTGAGTATCTCGCAACTACTTTTGCTGTTGCATCTAGTAATGGGACCGAACAAAAAGTAGGAAAATTATGCTGAAAATTTTCGATTTAAACCTTCTCTGATATGTACATCTCACTAAAGATAAATGCGCAATATTTGAGCAGTCGGCAAACAAGGGCTCTGAACAGCAGTGATTTAGCTTCCAATGTTTAGAAGTTCTTGAGTAAAGAATGAACATGCTGTCTGCTTTTCATTATGATATATCTAGTGTGTCCTGAGAACGATAACTTCGCAGCAGATCTAACAACCAAGTTTTATTATTATTTATCCCTTGTGTTTCTAGTAGAACATAAGGCTTCACTAGCACGTCACCATTTCACTCTCTTCTCTCCAGTCTGCCTCAACCTGGCTCTACCACTGCCCACAAGTTTTGATTTCTTCCTCACATGATCTCCATGTCACCGTCGCCTCGGACATCCAACTCGTCGTTTCCCCTTTGGATTCCACTCGACGGCCAGACCTAGTGCGTGATGTCCCCGAATGGTCTTTTCAGTCCATGTCCAGTATATCTCCACTTTCCTCTGCATATTTGTTGGGCGATGGGTTTTTGGTTGATTCGTTCCCAGAGTTCCTTGTTGCGTATTCCATTTGGCCATCTCGTCTTCATTATCGAGTGGGGGTGGGTGGCAGCTGTTGATGTATATCTGTAGTTTGTTGGAAATGCTTTTCGTAACGCGCCAAGTTTCTGAACCATCACACAGAACTACTGACTTGACTGACATTAGTGCTGAATATCCGGATCTTGTTCACGCTTTATGCTGAGTCAAGTGGAGTAGATCTCCACACTGATTTCAGGTTAATGAACGCCTGTCTTGCTTTTCCGATCCTGGCTTGGACGTCTTCATCTGTGCAGCCGCCTGTAGTTGGAACGATGGTGCCTAGGTAGGTGAAAGAGACTACTTCCTTCAGGTTTCCCCGTCGGTGGTGATTGGTGCCTCTTGATGCTGCTGTTGTTGCTGTTCGTTGGGTATCTTCATCACCTCTGTCTTCTATACGTTCACTTGAAGTCCCGTCTTCGCTGCCCTGCCTCTTCTGTCAACTTGTTAGTTTTCGCTTGCAGATCTTCGAGTTCGATTGAGATTAGACATAAAACATCATCGGTGGCGAAATCCAATTCTTTTAGGGTCTTGTCATAGGTCCAGCCAGTGAATGCCCACCTTCTCGCCCCCCACAGTTTGCTGCCTGATCCAGTCGACCACAATCAGGAAGATCATAGGTGATAGTAGACAGTCTTGTCTTACTCCTTTCAGTCTTCACTTCACTTCAAAGGCGTCAATGAGCTTTCCATTGTCAATCACGTCTTTATATATCTGTTAAATGAGGTTGATAAAGGTTAGTGGCACTCCGTAGTGTTGAAGCAGTTTCCAAATTACCCCTCCATCGACGCTGTAGAAGGCCTTTTCAAAATCGATGAAGTTGAGATGGAGAGTTGACTACCATTCTATGCTCTGTTCTATGATGATGCGTAGCGTTGCAATTTGATCCACACATAATTCATTCTTCCTTTAGCCAGCCAGCCAGCCCGTTCCGGTCGTAATTTTGTATCCAGAGCATCCTTTAGTCTCTCCAGGATGATGCGGGGTGGACAAGAGTGGAGCATGATTCCGTGCCAGTTCTTGCAATGATTTAGGTCTCCCTTCTTTGGGAAATTGACAAGGTAGCCCTTCTTCTAATCAACCGGCAGGTACCTTTCCTTCCTTCCTTCCTTCCTTGCAAACCTTGTGTAGTAGTGGTGTGAGCATGTCCGCTTTTGTCTGTGCGTGTTTTCAGTGCTTTTGGTGGAATTCCATCTGGCCCTGCTGCTTCCCTGAATTAGCGCAGTTGTATGGCATTCAGGACTTCTACTCTTGTCGGAGGGCCTGTGTTCACTGGTAGTTCTGCCGTTGCTGGTGGTACTTCTGTACGAGTTGCAGGTGGTCGATTCACGAGTTTTTTGAAGTCGTCAGCCCATCGTTTCCTTTGTTTCGCCTCTTTGCTAACTAGGTTTCCTTCACTATCTTTCATTGATTTAATCTGCGTTGATCCCTTCTCAGATACGAACTTAGCTATTTCATATAGTGTTGTCACGTCTCTCCTACCTGCAGCCTGTTCTGCTTCACTTGCCAATGTGACGTAGAAGTGCATTTTATCCTTCTATGCACTCTTCTTCACTTTTTTGTCCAGTGTTTCATACATTGTACTCAGTTCCTCTTCTCGTCGTTCATTCTTGCACTGGTTCATCTTCTGCTTCACCATCACTATCTTCCTCTCCCTCCTCTATCAGCTTCCATGTGTCCGTCGAGATCTATTCCTTATGTTGTCTCTTATTCCTTCCTAATACAATTATGCAGGTTTCTTTCCACATAGCTTTCAAAGAGTTTCAGTGTTCTTCCGCGCAGGTTTCTTGAGGGATGTCGCTCAATATCTATTTTGTCCTGATAACTGACTGACTTACGTGAAGATGTCCTTCGTACTTTCGTCCTTCAGTTTCTGTTCTGAGTGTTCAACTTCAACTGTGGTCGTCTATCGCCAACTTCTTTGAAGGCTTTCAACGTGATTTTGTAGGCCGGTTTCTTGCACTCGATAGTGAGTGGTGTTAACCTACATCTGCTCTTCTTCTTGATTTGATCTTGTGTCCAGTAGGCTACATCTCCACTTTCTTCAGACTGAGATGAAGTTGATCTGATTTTTAGTGTATCCTGGTGTCTGATGAAATCCATGTTTTTTTTGTGGATATCCTTGTGTTTGTACACGCTGCCCCCAACCACCAAATCGCTAAATACGCAGAAGTCTGCAAACAGTTCTCCATTCTCGTTCATTTCACCAAGTGCCTCTCAACCCATGATTGGTTCTCTTCCTGTGTTGTCCCCTCCCAGTTTGCATTCATGTCACCCAACCCATTAGAAGTTTGACGTCGCCAACTGGAGTCTTGCCCTGTACTGATTGCAGTTGTCTGTAGAATTCCTTCTTCTCTTCTGGATCTGCATTATTTGTAGGTGCGTAGCGTGGGATTGTATGATTGTGACTTTCCTTCCTTTTGAGGTGAACCTTGCTGTCATGATCCTGAAGGAGGAGATTGGTTCCCATTGCCTGAGGGCCTTTGATGCTGTTGGGAATATCATGATAGTCACTCCCTCCGTTTGCTCGTGATTGTCGTCTCGGTGGCAATATCGCAGTAGATTATTGACTCTGCAGTTGACAGTTGGGAGAGTCCACTTCTATTCCACCTGCTTTCGCAGCCAAGCACTTCTATGCTATACCTTCTCAACTCTTTGGCAACTTGGGCAGACTTGCTAGGTTCACACATTGTTCGGACATTCCATGTCCCTATGTTTACTTTCGCTTTCATCGAGAGAAGATAGATCGGTCAATTGGCTTCCCGAAGGCTTTCACCAACTGGCGTCATTTCGCCTCTCCGATTGCAGCGAGGAATAAGTTTTATTTTATGTTTTATACTTTTTTTGTGCTTTGAAGTTTTTTCTAGCTGTTAGATTGATTTTACGGGGTAGGGTTTCGAACCCTATGCCTAACCTTCCCTCTTTATCCCAACTATGGACCGGCTAGTAACTTGTGAACTAGTTACCTAGGCGAGATTAATACCCAAGTTGCAGAGCTGTGTCTTCTAGGTACGAGTTAAAATCAGAATGAAAGTTACTGGACGGAACGAACCCACATT